TGATAGGCTAGGAGCTGGTGCTGCATTTGTCCTTGAACCAGTTGCGTCTGTTTGTCCCAAAACAGAACTATCCCAGGATTGACATGTATACATAACACCTTTCTAACCAGGTTTTGGCAAGCAGCTGAATGCATTACTGCATGTCTGCCATTGAGTTAGTGATGCGGTCCCAGGATAACCGTTCAGATGTACTTTCAATAACCTGGGACTGCACAGTAAGTGGGAATAGGCTGGCGTCTACACATGTAGGTGTTAAAATGCATTAACACTGTGTGTGGACAGACTTAGGACTTAAGCTAGTCCCAACTCAGTCCACATACACATTGTTACTGTGCAGTAACATAAATTTGATACCTGCATGATGACGGTATGCTCAAGTTGGCATAAGTCACCATATTTACTGTGTAGTACAGGCGTACTTTCAGTTATTGCACAGTAATTTGTTATTGCGCAGTAAATGTGCATGTATTGACGTGTTCTGTTAGTACTTCTTATCCTTAGCACTAATCTAGCTTGGGCACTGGACTAGATGATCTTGTGAAGTCCTTTCCAGCCCTACTTTCCTTTGATCCTGTGAACCTTCTTAGGCTTTATCCTAGGACAGTGGACATGGACATCTGAACGATTGCCCTTTGTCCTGTGATACAATGGTTTATTGAGGGATAAATGCAATGCCTGTAGCCCTTCAGAAATGCTTCAGCTCAGCTCTATGTAGGAAAGAGCTGTCACCCCCCTAGTTCACAAATGGAAAACTTGCCCTTCCATTCTTTGAATGAACCCTCCTGGTGAATAAAAGCAATGTGTATGTAGCAGGATTCCCCTTCACCCTCATAGACGTTTTATTTCATTTCTCATTACATAGAGCAAGCACTTATTTTCCATACCTGGGACTGACCACGAAAGCACGCACACAATCACCAGCCGCAAACCCTCCTTTAACAGAAGGCAGCTGCTTCTTCTTCTTGTGTCTCTACACATTTGACCATTTTGTTACACGTACTTGTACTTCTTTCTTGTATTTTGCAAGATCTTCCATTTGATATATGCCTTCAAGCAATGGACATTGCAGCAGGTGTCTAAGGCATGGTACCACAGTCCCAGGTTGTTGAACCAATACAACAGGCAGCATCAAGCCCTATAAGCCCACAAGAGCATCAGAGTCAAAGCACCTGACTGAGAAGGGAAGCAGTGCCTGAACCTTGTTTCTCTATCCCTCCCTGCTTTTCCTTCCCTCAGCAGTCTTTTATCACAGTGCTAGACAATGCACTCAGTACCAATGCCAGGCTGGACACAGAAGCAGGCTGATCCATTCCCACCTAGGTCAGCGTGCTTGGGAACGTGCCAATTGCACTTCAAAGCTGTACACCCAACTGCAGTCTTGGCTGCTTGTAACGCAGGACTGGAATCAAGGTAAGGGCTTGCCATTTCCAGGGGGAGCAGCACTGGAATATCATCTAGGGAGGGCCTCTCCCAAATTGTTGGGAGGGAGAAAATGCAAACAATAAATGTCTGTTACTTTTCTCACCTTCCTGTATGACTTTTTTTTCAATTTAATGTAAATCCCTTCCAAAATGAGTTAAGCTAAACTGGAAAAATGGTCTTGTACTGAAGTAAAGAGGGTCCACACACAGCTTTATCCAAATATTTCAGGTTAAACATGCACCTTAATGCATATTGGTAGAACTTTCCCATGTGGACAAGCCCTGAAGCCAGGTCTGTGGTAGAAACTGTCACGGGTATTAGACATGAGATTTGTTACCAGGACTAAAACTTCTGTGTCTTTTGCAAGTGTAACAAAACTGCACTTTTGTCTGTGTCACTTTGATATTATTCAGTGGTAACTGGACTATGGTAAACTGGCAAAATGCAGTTTTGTTGTGATAAGCTAATTCCACATAAGCAACATGTCATGTAAGCTGTCCTACAATGGAGTAAGTGTCTCCCAGCTGGGCTTATTTAGGAGGAGGGGAAAAGCCCAAAGATGTCAAAGAGCCAACATATAAGCACTGTGTACAGAGGGCCCAATTTGTGTTGGGGTAATAAGGCTTGTATTACACTGCCTGAAAAAGCACATGCTGCAGGTAGGTGTGGCTTTGCTAATGCATGGAAGGTTCATGGTAGTCTCATTGAGGGGATAAAGAGAGAAATGAGCTTCTGGCTTATAGCTCCATCCCATTGGGGTGTGACAGGTGGGCAGCTGTTCCTGTCAGCAGAGTATTTTGTTGGGCAGATAGGTACTGGTACACCTACACTGGCAAAGGGCTTGTAGCGGAGACCTAGCCTAAGGCTGTATCAGTAGTGACTGCTGTGAATTATCCCATTCATCTCCAGGAGCTGCTAACTGGGAAACTGAAATATGCAAATTTCAGTATTAAAGCTATCTGGTATTTCATTGCCAATCATTTTAACATTCAGGGTTGTTTTTTTTTTCATTAATCAAAAATGCCTCCTTTGCTTTATCAGTGCTAAAAGCATTGACAGCTTCCTAATGGAAATGGAAGCATCCCTTTCCCCCTGACGTCTCCTATTAGACGGTTTTACATTTTCAGAACAAAATTGGCAGTTCACTGATAATGGGAAAAAAATTGGGAATAGTAACTAAACAAAACATACTAAGTACTGAAAACTGCTGTAGTGCAAGGGTTGTCAAACTACATTGATTGTGTGGGTCACCCTTAAGAGAGAACCACATCTGTTCTGACATGCAGCAGGGCAGTTGCAAATGCAAGCAGTCCATCTGAGTACTAAAAATATTAGGTAGAAAGAAGGAAGTTTTTTCAAATGGCAGGAGCTGTGGCATTAAGTGCTCTTATATCAACAGCAAAATTGCTGGAAGGAAGAGAGAGGTTGGTGCTAGATAAATTGGGAAGTTTGCTCAAATAAGCTGGGAGAGCACAAACTATTGGCAAACTTGTTGAATACGAGAGAGGAGAGCTCCTGGAAGCAGACTGGAGGAATTCTTTTCTCACTCTGCAACTGTCCCAAATCCATACTTGGCCTGGGATGTTGAACTTGTGCCGATGGTTCAGATTTATTTCAGTTAGAGGGTGCTTTTCTTCCCATCTGGCCTAGGGGCACGTTTTCTCGTTACACAGTTCTTGCTATGGCCCTCCTAGACTTGACTTCTGCACAGAGAGCCAAGTGAAGAATGCTGTTGCTCTTCAGAGGCAAGGGTTTCTTAGGGTGATTGCTTTTATTGGCCCAATTTTGTCACTGATATAGTTAGACCAGCTTCCTAATGTAAGACATTTTTTCTTAGGTCAGACCTGTCTTATGTTCGAAAGCTGGTCTAACTTGGTACCAATGACGTGGTTGGTCCAATAAAAGTTGGCCCTAAGAAATCCTTACCTCTTGAATAATACCTGGACCATCATGGCTACAACATCACTCTTGCACTAGTGTTGCACGTCACTCTTGCAACATGCTGCACCCTGCAGAGGGGGCTTGAAGGTGGCCAGAGAGAAGAGCCTCCCAGTCCTCTACTGCTGCAGGCACCTGCGTAAGAAACATGTCCAAAAGGCTCCATAAGAAGGTCGATCAGTTGAGGTTCTTCTCTGACAGTGCAACCATGAGACACCTGATTACGGAAAGGCCCATGGGTGCCACTGGAAGTGAGCAGGAGGGACAGGGGCGCCACTAAAGGGACGGGGTTTTTTTGTTTCTTAGGTAAAATGGTTCCTGTGATCCTGAGAAGTGACCTATTCTAGAGGGAAAGTTCCTTGCCAATTTAATAGCAGGGGTGGGGTGGGTTTCCTCCTTTACCCCACACCTGCCAACTGGTTTAACCCCCAGGCAGGCCCAAGACGGGGCTTCACCCAATGTGAATTAATTACCCTAGTGAGGGGGCCTCTGCCCCACCTGCCCATCAGTGATGATTCAGGTAAGGAAACCAGCGAAGAGAAGCAGCTCCCTCCCCTGCTCCCGCTCAGCCCAAGGGGGCCAAATTCCTCCCCTTTTTTGCAAATGCCTGGCAGAAGCAGAGGCCTGGGGTTAAGCAGCAAAAACACCCCCCTCTGCTCCACTCCCAAGCAGGAGGCTGTGCTGCCTGTGGGCCATCCTAGAGGACATTGTGGTTTTCTGCTACTCTGTCCTCTATTGATACCAAACTGGACGCCTTTATGCCCTCTATATTTCTCTTCAAGAAAATACAAAACCGCATGCCTTTATGGCCTCTATTTTTCTCTTGAAGAGAAAAATAGAGGACATAAAGGCATCCTGTTTCATATCAATAGAGGACAGAGGACAACTGGACTGTCCTCTAGGATGGCCACCCTGCCTGTGGGTCCGAGCTGGAGGAAGCCCCGCTGGGGGCAGGAAGGGATGTGCCACCGGGTGTACAACAACTCCCATATTTGCACAATAATGTCAACCTTTGCACAATGTACACCCAATAAGAATGCAAAGGCTCAAATCGTTTTGGAGGCAGCCAATTGATCCAGGCACGCGTCAAACCCTCCTAGCAGCACTGAGGGACAAGAACCCAGCTGACTTTCGGGCTGGCGTCAGCGCTTCCTCAGGACAGCCTCAGTGCACGGCTCCTGAAAGCTTGTGGAAAAGGACGATTTTCTTGCGATTTCCCAGTTGGTCTAATACGAGGTGTCATGTTGGATCCCAGAGTTCTTGGTTTTTTGTTTTTGTTATTGTACGTCCAAAGAAGGAAACGCTTCAAAGTTGACCACCGGCTCACTCGCCGCCCATGTCTGGGAAGTAAATAAGAAGACTTATTCGCACGTTATTTCAGTGCATGATAGCTTATTTTCTTTTCATTACACACTATAGTGTTGCACTTCCCTGCGGTGTTTCAGGACGGGCCAGACCCGTCCCCCGTCATTAGGGACCAGTGTGAACAACGGCCGCATCCGAGGCGAGGCGAAACTCCCCACTGCGCGCGCACCCTGTCCCCAGGAGGCACGTGTGGGGCTGACTCCGCCCCCGCGGGCGCCCATTGGCTGCAGGGCTCACGCGAGCCGGCGGCGGCTGTTTGCCCGCGAGTGACCCCGGCGGGGTGGGGGGAGGGGGGAGCGCTGCCCCGCGCGACCTTTCTCCTGCATCGGCGCGACGCGGCCCCTCCCCCAGCGCGGCAAGATGGCGGCGCTGAGCAAGTCCATCCCCCACGGCTGCTACGAGCTGGGGCACACCTGGGAGCCGCGCTGCACCCGCGCCTTCCTGCACATCACGCACGGGGCCCTGGCGGAGTCCCTGCGCATCTATGGCACCCTCTACCTGGTGAGCTGGGGGGGGCAGGAGGGGTTGCG